GCTCCTTTAAGGGTTTAGGGGTTTAGGGGTTTACGGGTATATTAGACTTCTAGGTTTGGGGTTTAGGGCCCAGGGCTTCTATTATATGGAATACTATAAGGGTTCGATTAGAAGGCTTCTATTATAAGGAATACCACAATATAAGGGCCACTACACGGAATACCATAAAGGTTCAATTATAAGGAATACAAGGGTGACTATAAGGAATATCATAAGGGCTCGATTATACGGCTTTATGATCCGGAATACTACAATTAATTATCAGGGTCACTACAAGGAATACTATAAGGGTTCGACTAATCAGGTTGACAATCAGGAATACTATAAGGGTAAAGACCCTTGGGATTTCTAGGCCCTGTTTTGTTGATGACCTTGGGAGTTAGGTTAGGGTTCCCAAGAGTACTCAGTTTGGGGCTTTCGAGGATGAGGGCTTAGGGCAGGATTTAAATTTGGTCTAGGGCTTAGTGCTTCAGGGTTTCAGGGTTTAGGGTTTAAGGTTCGGGGCTTAGATGGGTTGTTATATGAGTTCTGCAAACGTTGGCCAAGGGGTTTGATGTGGGTTCCTAGCTGGTTCTATATGTGTTTCAGCAAGGGCTTAAAGTTTAGGGTTTTCACCGAAAGCCACGTGAAACAGAATTCCTCATTGCAGGTATGTTTCCTTCACAAGTATACATATCGGGTGATATCGGGTGCTTTGTTGGCCTCACAAGTTTCGAGAACTAGGTCATGCCTGTCTGGAGTTCTCCGTTAAAGCGCGATATACGCTAAATAGTAGACCCTAAACCCTAGACCCTAGACCCTAAACCCTAAACCCCAATCCCTAAACCCTAAACCCCAAACCCTAAACCCCAATCCCTACACGCTAAACCCGAAACCCCAAACCCTAAATCCTAAACCCGAAACCCTAAACCCAAAACCCTAAACCCCAATCCCTGAACCCTAAACCCTTAACCCTAAACCTGCACAACCCTAAACCCTAAACCCTAACCCTAAACCCCTAAACCCTGAACCCTACACCCTAAACCGAGAAACCAGGAGAAGAAGGTCGCAGAGAAGAAGGAGAAGATGGATGCCAAGGCCTTTGTCATAGTTGGGTATCATTTTTTGCATTTTTTAAGGGTACTTAAACCCAATAATGAATATAAATTTACATTTTTAAGGGTACTTAAACCCAATAATGAATATAAGTTCAATTTTTTAAGGGTACTTAAACCCAATAAGGAATATAAGTTTAACTTTTTAAAACTACCCCAACCATGAACAATTACCTATATTATTCCTTAGGGTTCCTTATTATAATTATAGTATAATGGGCCCCAAAACCCTGTTCTAACTATTAAGGCGAAGGAAGGCAAAGGAAAGGCCAAGGCCAAGGCATCACCGAAGAACAAGGCCAGGTGGGCTTACGGGCTTTGGGGTTTAGGGGTTTAGGGTTTAGGGTTTAGGGTTTAGGGTTTAGGGAAGGCCAGGTGGGCTTACGGTTTATGTGTTCGGGGTTTAGGGTTCAGTGTTTTCGGTGCTTCAAAGACTTCTTTTGCCACCTCTATGGTGTCCTTCGGGACCAAGTACTAAACCCTACAAATCAACACCGGGGAGGCCTGTGGCCTTATCCTATGAACCCTACATGGGTAGCTCTAAATTAGAGTCCCTTTCAGGGTCCTGTTGATAAGGGTTCCGCTCTATGTTGGGAAACCAAAAAAGGGACCCTAATTCAGAGATTTACCCTAGCATAAATCCTGAACCCTCAACCAAAAACCCTTGTAGAACCCCTACGTGGCAGTCATGTAGAGGCCTTAAGAACTAGAGTAGGGCCCTTGAAGGGTTCCTTCAACAGTCCCTTCAAGGGCTATGGCACTTGCAAACCTTAAACCCTAAACCTTAAAACCCTTAACCCGAAATCCTAAACCCTAAACCCTAAACCCTACAACCCTAAACCCTAAACCCTCTTAGGGTACGTTTCGTCCTCAAGGCACTGGGCTTGGGTTCCTTGGCACCGAGGCTCCGGGGATACCTTCGGCGCCTGCGTTTAGGAATCAGAATCATATGGGTAGTTCTCTAAATTAGGATCCCTTTTGGGGGTCCTTTCTATGAGGTTGCCGTACTATATTGGGGACCCAACAAGGGACCCTAGTTTAGAGAATCAGAATCATATAGATAATAGATGTAGATAGATAGATTGACGGTTTAGGGTTTAGGGTTTAGGGATCGATAGGTGTAGCTACATAGATAAACATGTAGATCGGTCGACAGATAGACAGAGACAGATAGACAGGTAGATCAATCGAAAGATAGATAGAGACAGATAGACAGATAGATAGATCGAAAGATAGATAGAGACAGATAGATAGATAGGCAGATAGATCGACAGATAGATCGGTAGACAGGAAGATAGGTAGATGGATACATAGATAGATAAATAGATGATGGTGCAGGTTATAGATACAGATATAGAATTATGGAACATCTGTATGCCCGAGCTTTTTGAACTGAACACCTGCGCTTCGAATATCTCGACAGGCTGGAGCCAAGGGGCTCAGTATGAAGTCCACTCCCGAGGCAGAGTTTAGGGTTAATATAGGGGGCAAACTAATTACCAATACTATTTTTGGTTGGTTCCTTATAATAACTACAGGATAAGAATAGGGTTTTGGAGCCCATTATACTATAATTATAATAAGAATAGGGTTGTGGGGCCCATTATATTCTAGTTATAATAAGGAACCCCCCCAAAACCCTATTCTAATTCGTAAGGCCCCTAGATTAAGGGTGGAGCAATGGAACCCTGCAGCCCTGAACCCTAAACCGCGATGATGTAGGGGCCTCATAATTAGACTACGGTTTTGGGGTTTAGGGTTTAGGGTTTGGGGGTATGTTAGACTATAATTATAATAAGGAAACCCCAAAATAGTATAGGTCATTATTCAGACCCCTATATTAACAGCTGTTGTGGTGACCCTCGCAACCCGTAGACCTTGTACTTAGTAGCTGAGTGAGTACACTTGACACCTTTTTCGCAAAACTTTTTGGGGAGAATCTGATCCCTTCTAGAACTGAAAGTGTACACATCTTGGGGCTTATGAACTCAGCAACTAGGTATAGTAGCAGGAGCTTTTGCAGTCACCCTCAACCCTAAACCCTAACCCTGACCCCGGGAACGCAGTAGCTGTTGCAGGCAAGGACATTTAATGACAGATCATTTCCTCAAATGGTTAAGTAATCGACACTAGCTGACCATTCCCGCAGCATGCAGAGACCACCTACTCGCGCAACTTGATGCAGGAACTGTGCTTGTGTGGGCTGCTGCGACTAACTCATGCACTCACTTGATCCCTTACTGAAGCAAGCACCATTAGCCAAGTTACCAAACTTGTTTGAAACTACATCAAGACTAGGTTGCCAAAATTAAGCAACAATGCAGGATCGACCTCTTGCATATCAAGAGAAAGAGTTGACTCAATTATGTCACTGTGCATCGCCGTCTTGTCCAGGAAGTGTAAGATTCCTTCCCACAAAGCGGCAGCACATAACCGCTGTAGACGCCTTCTAAAACCCGCGCTACATGGCACCCATATTCTACCCTTACGAAACCCCCATAGAGCCCCGATTTGCCCGGGGGGGGGGGCCGAACGATATGCCTAAGCCCTAAACCGCAAGCCTTATTCTGAGTACAGAGTACCCTAAACCCCTAAACCCTAAACCCCAAACATCATAAACCCTTAAAGGAGCCCCTTCTAGATCCCTTCAAGAACCCTTTAAAGGAACCCTTAGGGGATCCTGTAAGTGTTCCCTTTAAGGGAGTCCTTAAGCGCTCTTTCTAAGGATTTAGGGGTTAGGGGTTCCTTTCATAAAGGAATCCTAAAGTTTAGGGTTCAGAACCCTGAACCCTGAACCCCTAACCCTTAAATCCCTAAACCCTAAACCCTAAACCCCTAAACCCCTAAACCCTAAATCCCTAAACCCTAAACCCCTAAACCCTTAACCCCTAAACCCTAAACCCCTAAACCCTCAAAGGAACACCCTTTCAACAGCCCTCCAAAGGCGCCCTCTGTGGAGTTGGCTCCAGCCGTTGCCGCCAAGGCAGAGAAGGCAGGCCTCAAGGACCTTTTGGCGGGGAGCCTTTAAGGGGCTCCTTTAAGGGTTTAGGGGTT